TTGATCAAGTTTTATTGACGTCTGCAAAGATGAAAATTTTTAATTTATTTTGGTGGAATTTTCTTTTAAGAATATAATATTATAGCTTTCTCCACAATTTCCTGCATAAATGGTGTAGATGAATTCCCCATAGAATGGAGGCAAATCGATGAAGACATGATGAAAAGCCTTTAGAGGCTCGGTGATTGCGAGCGAGAGTATACAATCATTGCGCTCGTTCCATCCACCATTATCTAAACTAACAACATCATAAGCTACGAAAGACACGATTCTTCGTAAGATCTTCATGTCGGATTCTTTGGTTTCTTTCATCATCAAGCACGAAATCACAGGGGGCTTGATGTCCTTGAGCACGACGAGAGGGAGTTTGAAGCCGCGGTTGCTGAATTCGGCGAGGGTTTCGGAGAGGAGATAGATCTGAGGATGCCACTGGAAGAAGATTGATAAAGTTTGAGAAGCATTTGAGATAAGCAACCTGGGAATTTAGCAGCGCATAAATTGTAGAGAGCAGACGCGGATTGAAATTCGATGGTTTCTCGAAGCGAAGAGAGTTGATTGAGAAGAATCTCTAATCCTTGGAGGCTTGGAGGAGCAAAAAGATCCCTCTCTTTCAACATAAGATTCAAAGGTTCCACCATTGCACCTTTTGCAGAATCGGTTTTTTTTTTTTGAGAAAATTACTTTCAAGAATCTCCTGGAAAAATGGGATTTAAGGGTTTTCCAGTACTTGTAGACGATTTTGAAGGTGAGATGGTTAATTTTTTAATATTTTTTGCAATCCGGTCGTGGTTATTTAGTTAGCAAAATTAAGTCAAATTAAAATAGGAAAAATTTGCCATTAATACAACAAAAAAAATTATAATTTACAAACTAACCAAAAAACCTAAATTCTAAGACCTAAATTGTGCCACATACCCTTTTTCCCAACTTTTTAAATATTTTTTTTTTGGTTATTTATTAAAAAGACCCATTAAAATATAGTTTGGTATTTTGAAATTTAAAAAGAAAAAAAACCTGAAAAAACTTGTCACACAAATACAACATATATAATTATTAATTTTCCATTTCTCTTTATCATAAATATTGTACATAAGAGATTCTTATTACATCGATAAAGATTAGAATTTCGTAATACAAACGATACAAATCAC